TAAGCAAGGGTGAGTATGTTTCGAGGAAGCTAGATTTCATTTTGCATGAATTTAGTAAGTAGCATCGAAGTTAAACGAAGAGTGAAAAAAATTGCGAGAAGAAAGAAGAAGTTCTTTAGAGTCAAGTTCTTTAAGAGAGTCAAGTTCTTTAAGAGGGTTCCATGCTGAATCCATACAGAATGTAATCTTATTCCAGTAAACGTACTCACCTCTAAAATTGAAACCGAAACTAGAACAATTTCAGCTTTTACAAGCTGAATATTGCAGAAAAACAACAAAAATTATGGCAGAAATCAGCTGATTGGTAGCGTCAGCAACCATCGATCGGCGGGAGTTCAGATGGAAGAGTGAGAAGAGGGCGCGGCGGGGTGTGTTAGAGCGCAGAGTCAGTGTCAGAGACGCAGGGGCAATGATGATGATTTCCTGGAATTTCTCGGCTTTCCATCGTCACGCAATCAGCGGGACGCTCGCCGGCGTGGTCGTAGGGAACGCCCCACCGTCCGGTGAGCGCTCCACTGTAGCTCAGTGATTCGAACAAGTTATCCGGTAACATCTACCTGTCAGAACGTGCAAACGGCAATGAAATCGCGCCAAACGACCGCCTCCCCATTCACACGGATTGTGTGACATCTAATCCTTAAACGCGATTATTTTTCGCCAGCAGCTGGAAGCAATTTGAATTTCCCGCACGCGCAATTTCGAACTCGGGCACACTGTGTGCAGTGAGTTACCGTCCTTGATTGTCGTTATTCGCGATGTGGCATTAGAGCATGATTCGAAAAAACCTCCAGGTTAATAGACTTCTAGTAATCAAAGTATGGATGAATCAATTGCATTATGGTATTACTGAATTGATGTTTGTCTAGAACGAAAGTTGTCTAGAATGTCTAGATAGACTATCCTGTAAGTGACATTTATGCAGCATGTTAGGTAGATTTTGGGTCTTAGAATATGAAGCGAGTATTCTAGAAGATCGACTTTTATCGAACGTGATTAGGAGCCTATGGGACTTAGAATGGGACAACACAGGTGTCCCAGAAGTGTTGATTGAATTCTACGTTGGTTTTTTCGGCACACGAGGAACTCACGGTTTAGCAGTCGTTTTTTACATAACCTCCGATACTCTCTGATGATCAATGAGAAAAAGAAACACTGGCTAGGCCAAATAATGGCGCGTTCTTCTAACTCGGAACTTCGCGTAAAATATGAAACGTTTTGCTGCAGAGTTCTTTGACATTTACTAGAGATGCTTGGAGCACTGCGCGTAATTTAATGGGGAGTTTTTCGCATTACACAACAAAGTGGACTCAATTGAGATGTCTAAGGTTTTTCAGTTTTGGTCTCCTTACAAGCATTTACGCCCTCCATATGAAAAGATAGCTCCAGTTGATGGCACGTCTGCGACCTCCACAGGATTCGCTTTTCAGGCTTTAGATATGATCAGGCTTGCCGATTCTTCCTACAGCGAGATACCAGCATCCTGGAGAGTCAACCACTCGTAATTATATTCTTTCCACCGCCTTTATTCGCCTATGATGTCATTCCCTTTCCACTTCTGGAACCGTGTAACAGCTCGACCGAGGCAACATTTACATCCAGCTACAAGTCATCCTTCATTCTGTGCTATTTCTAAGGCATCTTTTCCCAGTATACTGCGTAGTACGTCTCTATACAACTCTGGGAAAATCTTCTACGACAAAATTGAACTCACTAGGGAAGGTCATCAGGTCAAAGTGGCCATTTGTAATGAGATGTAGCTCACTAGACGTGGTTTTGGACGCTGATCTCGAGTCTGCCTTCGAAATTTGCAGAACGACACTATGAACAGAATATGAAGGTTTGTTAGAATTAAAATGTAGGAAAACAGAGTCGAGCGCGGTTGCCAGCCAGTTCGCATAAATAGCCGGGAAGCACGATTTCGTTCAACGGTGGCTTGGTATAGTGGTAATGGTCTTGCTTTGCGAGCATGCCATTAAGGGTTCGGATTCCTGGGAGGGAACTTGTTTTGCATTTCGTGGGGAATGTCTCTTTTGAGTCAGAAAACACTCGAACGCCAAATGGGTGCCATATTCGTGTTCAGGGAGTAAAACTACCCACGGGGACAACTTCTTTGCCAGAAGTGAGGTTTTGACCTAACTATGAAAAGTGCGGTAGCAGTTGATCGAATGATGGTCACCAATAGTTCCAGGGCCAGTCTCTTGTCAATTGCTTGTCTTTGGACGGAATTTGCTTTTAGATACCAGGAAAACTGGAGCAGTAATAACATGAATGCGTAAGAAATGGCAAGACAAAGCTTGCGCAGGAGAATGTATCTGCAGTGGAACAGGTGTGAACATCAAATGAACTAACCCATGGATGCTTCACTTGTCGAAGTGAGGTCAAAACGCCAGATTTGGCTAGAAACCTCCACCTAGGCGTAGTTCGCTCCGATAAACAAGAATATGGCACTCGCTCAGCGCGAAAAAAAAAAATCAAACGGCCTGCACTCCGCGCAAGGGCACCTTGTACATCCAAAATTCCTTCCTAGCATGAGGGCACAAAGGACACTAAGCGCGCCAATAAGCGAACAGAAACTGTTTTTCAGGCAAGTCAAGGAGAGCGCTAATGTAGCAGTGACGCCACAACCACTTTTTGCCACGTTTGCACAAGAAGCAAAAAAGTTAAGCTCAGCAGGGATCCGATCCCACGACCTGTTGCGTGGTAAACGCGGTGGAAAAAGCTCCATAACTCCGTTCATAGAATCGTTCTGCAAATTTCGAAGGCAGATTCGAGATCAGCGTCTAAAACCACGTCTAGTGAGCTACATCTCATCACAAATGGCCACTTCGACCTGACGACCATCCCTAGTCAGTACATAACGCTATTCTAGTTCCTTCCAGGACGCTTGGAGTGTCAACATTCTATTTCACACTGGTTTCGAATCACCTTACAATCAGATGAAAATCAATTTTAGGATACTTGCACTGCTTATTTTCTAAGGTGCAAAAAGTCATCATCATCCTAATAAATCCACTTGTAGGATAGTAAGAACTAAAGTTCTGAAGTGAAGTTTACTACCGTTCTGGATGAAAATCAGCTGAGTTCAAAATTGCGCGCGCGGGAAATTCAAACCGCCTCCAGCTGCTGGCGAAAAATAATCGCGTTCCTAATCCTTTCTATGCGGCGAGAGTGCAAATCTCCCCTCGTTGTCGGTACTCTCTCGCTCTCTCTCACTCGGATCGACTGCAGGGCACAGCATTCGATGGGGATTTTGGTCGAGCTTTTACGACCCCCCCCCATGGCTCCTACGATGGCTGACATGGCTGACTATGGTTGTGGTTTATACTCGGGTAGTAAGCAGTGCGACGTACATGGTACGGGCGTACATACTAGCTATAACACAGTAAATTCATAAAAATCCACCAAGTGAACCACATAATTCCTAGCCAGAAATACGACCCCCCTCCCCACAAGGACCAAATTACGACCCCCCCCTCCGCTTCAAGCGTCTCAGAAGAGACGCTGACGCACTGCTCATATTCTAATAGCAAGGTACAAAAACTCACATCATCTCATTAAAGGCAGTTGGCACGATGGTTTCCTACTTAGCCTAAAATGCTAGTAGGGCGCTGTATAGTGGGGAAATGGCGAAAGAACGGAGTGAAACGGTCAAAATCCGGCGAAGAAAAAGCCTCCGTTCTCAGTGACTTGTAAATCGATTTCGGACGAGTTTCCCGTACGCATCTTGCCAATCACCGCTACCGAAGATACGGCTGCATATGTGTACCCATATATGCATGCAGCATCACCGCCGCTTCATACCAATCCCTTTGCTTCATAATTTGCTCAGCAAATGAATGAATACGAGCGTCAGAAACGGTCGTCCGTTTGTGGGCGGGCGGGCAAGGAAGGCGTTTGGGACGTAAAGTTGTTGCTCAATAGGGCGTTATAGAGGTACCCTCCTTGGAAAAGGCTTCACGCAGCGCCTGTCCGAGGTCACGGAATTCTGTTAAGCCAGTTGTACAAATCCTACACCTGTATAGCGATTTATCGTGCCAACTGCCTTTAAAGTCACTTCTAGACAGTAGAAGTACTAAAATTCTTAGACTAGAATAGTTTTATGTACTGAGTTCAACGTTGTCGTAGAAGCTTTTTTCCAAAGTGTATAGACGCGTACTATGCAATGTACTGAGAAAAGATGCCTTAGAAATAGCACAGAATGAAGGATAACTTGTTATTGGATGTAAATGATGCCTTGGTGAAGCTGTTACATGATTCCAGAAGTGGAAAGGGAAACGAAATCGTAGGCGAATAAAGAGGGCTGTGTAGAAATAGCAGCATGTTTCCATATTATTACCAGTGGTTTACTCTCCAAAGATGCTGGTATTCTGGAGAGGTGCTGCTACTCGCAGACTTGCCATCATATAGAGCTATCTTTCCATATGGAGGGCGTGAATTCTTGTGTGAGGCCAAAATTGAAATTAGGATCACTTGAACCAGTTCTGAGCCTATAGTTTCGCGACTCGACCATTCCCTTCAAAAAAAGAATTTGCGCCGCTTCAGGTGCTTGATTAAAGGCAAAAGGAAACGCTGTTAAAAATTCTCGTTTTTGTCAACTTGAAACTCCTTTTTAATTGTTCGAAAATCAATAGAGTATAAATCTCTGAGAAACTGAGTCACCTTCTTGCAGTGCGAAAACCTCTCCATTAAGTAGTGCTCCAAGCATCTCTGGTAAATGCCCAAGAACTCAGTAGCAAAATGTTTCATCTTTTACGAGAGGTTCTGAGTTAGAAAAAGCGTCATTACTTATGGGCCAAGCCAGTGTCATTCACACCAGAGAGTATCGGAGGTGTAAGTAACGTCTGCTGAACCGCTTTTGAGAAGTCCCTCATGACAAAAAAAACAACGGAGAATTTGAATCAACACTTCTGGGACACCTGAATTGTCCCCATTCAAAGTTCCACAGGTTTCCAATCATCTTTGATGTAGATCAATCTTCTAGAATACCTGGTTCATAAAATCTACCTACCAGCTGCATAAAAACCACTTACAGGATAGTCTATTTGCTGAAGTTTACTATAAATCTATATAAACGTAATACCATAAAGCAATTAATTCATTCTCTTTTGACTACTGGAAGTCTATTCGCTCGGAGGTCCCCCTCGACATGCCCCAATTCATTAACGCGCTCTAATCATAACCAGGATTACGGTAAGGCATTGTTCACACTCTGCGGTCCAGCGTTTCTCTGAAACGCGGCGGTTCGGCGAAAAGCTTTCGATACATATCGACTGGCGGTTGGGCGAAGAGCCTGGCGGTTGGGCGAAAGGGTTTTGGTACGTATCGACGGGCGTTTCGCCAAACCGCGACGTTTTTCGCCTTCGACAAAACGCTAGCTCCATCGCGGTGGCGTTTTTCGCCAGCGAAATCGATACACATCTACTGCTTTTCGCCCAACCGGGTTGGACGGTTGGGCGATTCTCCGATCGATGACTATTTTTGCTTTTCTCCCAACCGCCGTTTCGTCAGGGCCTGGCGACTGTGAACAATGCCTAACACCCATTCACACGGACTTCTAAATCTCTCTTGTACATTTGAAAGAAAGATTCGCAAGAGGAAAAGAACATATTACTACGTAACCTCTCTCGATAAAATGTCAGCAAAACTGCTGTGTTAATCTGAATTGAACTTACTCCTTCATGAGTGAGTAGACTTTTGATAGCACCGATAACGGCCTGATGATCGACACCAAGATCTTTCGATATTTGCAATGTGTTGAGCTCCTTAAAACAGAAATGAACAATAAATAAAATAATTTGTGATGAAACTCGAAACCACAAACATTCAGAGATAATCTGCACATCTGTGACGATCTAGGACACTAGAAAAATCACGGTTCTCGTAAAGTTTCGGTCATGGGCAAGTAATTTCACTATTTCGTCTACCAGCAATGATAAGCGGCGTAACTAATGTGTAGTGAAGCAGTCAGATACTACAAAATCTCGTGTTTAATACCCCTGTGTCAAGGATATTTTCAGGAACTGCTAGTTCAGCCACAAAGCATCCGAACTTAGGATTCCATCGTAAGCCTTTAGGATTTATTAGGAATGGGGCCGGATAGGTAACCCGGAATCCTTTCTGCAAAAAGCATTTGACGAAGTAGTTACAAAGATCCAACCGCATCACAAGCGGCTTTATTGATTGAGCTAACCCAACCGCACGTCTTTTTCGACGGAAATCGTTAAGATTTTGACGACAAATCCTATCGTCCCAATGACTACCACGAACCTCTGCACTATAAAGAACCGAGGGCAACAAGTTTGATAACCTCTTCCAGTACAAGATATACCTGTAGCTGTGATCAGACAAATGCTCACTTATCACACGAATGGCCCAAACTCTAATTAAAATTAGTACAAAGTTTTGATGGACTCAACAAATATCTGAAATAACCTACATTGCCGTTCTCACTAAGACTGTTCAGAACGAATTGTGTCGCTTTTTCCACTTCATCGGCCACCGCTGTGGTACTCATAATGACCAAGCAATTTCTAAAACAGAAGCATATAATTCTCCACTTTATTGCACTAATCAGCTCCAGTCACCTGCACAAAAGTATCTTGAACAGCGGTAAAGCAAAACAACCGAAAACGAATGAGCAAGAAAACAATTAACGATGTGCAGTCAAAGCTGTTGTTGCGTGAAATGCGTGGTACTCTGTGTATTGCAGACCCAAGACAATCTAGCCGTAACGTTACAAACCCTGTGCCCAGAACAATCTTGGCACATTCTGACGTGCCCTGGTTCAACATGAACGATTACTGAACAGAATAATGGTTGTCTGTTATAGTTCGGTTACGCGGCAGGTGGTATTGGTCGAGAATAGGCAATGTATGACCGAAATAAACATAAGTCTACCATGTCTTTGTCTACATAAAAACGATGCTTCAATCGAAATGGTAGTGCAAATTAAGGAAACGTCGTGTTTTTGCCTCGCGACGAAGCGGCAACTTACGATTTTCTTGCCCACCTCCCGGGGGCACGATGTACACTCCATTTCGCTGTGGATAGGGGCGTGTCAGGCAGTATGAGTATGCCACGGCTCCAAACCTGTTCCCTGCCAGTTGTTAAAGCGGGTATGCGACACAGTTTGTAGAAAACGACTGATACGCTGGAGGAGAATGTGGTTGGCCCCGCGCCAAACTCGTCCCACCTGGTACGCCCCTTTCGTCCGCAGCGAATTAGGATACATATACTTCGCATCGTTCGTGAGAGCACTCGTGGAAAAA